CCAGCTGAGTCCAGGCATGGAGGTGTCTGCTTTGAAAGGAGCAGCTGGATGGGGGTGGACAGGAATGCTGGCATTCAAAAGAAAATTGGTTCTGTGGGGGCTTAGTGGGCGTGGCAGGGGAAGGATACTGCAAAATCCGCACTCCCTCCTGATCAGCTGGGACTTGGGAGGCAGAGAATAGGGGGGGGGGGCAGTCGGAGGGGGTATTTACCGGTTCTCCGAACTGCTCACAATTTCCTGCTGAATCCCCCCTCTGGTGGAGAGGAAGGGCTGTTGCTGCTGCTGGCTTTGGCCCTGCCTAAAGGAGCCACTTGGGGGGGGGGGAAGGGGATTCAGGGTCCCCAGGGGAGGCCCTAAGACCCCGAGAGAGGCTTCCATCATCCCTCCACTCCAGAGAATGTTCCCCTTGCTGAGGGATCTCAGTCGGAAGAAATCCACCGGGCCTCTTTGTGCACCTGATTCGTCCCCCTTCCCACGTTCAGTAACACCCTCTCCCTCTCTCTCTTTCTCCCTCTCTCTCTCTCTCTCTCTCTTTCTCCCTCTCTTTCTCTCCCTCTCTCTCCCGCTCTCTCTCTCTCTCTCCAGAACGAGCTGTTTGAAAAAGCCAAGAACGAAATCCTGGACGAAGTCATAAGCTTGAGCCAGGTGACCCCCAAGCACTGGTACTTGATTTCTTCCGTTTGGGTGGGGGACATAGCTGGGGTGCTCTGAGCTTAGGATGGGCTGCTTTGAATTCTCCCTTGGGACCATCAAGCGTTGATGGGCCTCCGTGCCTCAGTCAGGTGGGAGCCCCCCACCCAGGGCCCCCTCCCCAGCTGCAGCCCCTTCCCTCCCCTTCCCAGGAGGAAGCATGGCCTGCGGGATTGTCCTTGGTCCGAGAGTGAGTGAAGGCAGCTGAGGAGGGGAGGGTCCTGGGCCGGGGAGGAGAACACAGTGGTGCAAAGTTGTAACTATTCCAGATGGAAGGCAGGTGGGTCTGGCCGCCCAAGGGATCTTCCCTCTGTCAGCATGCAGAGGCTTACGAAGGGCCTCCCCTGGGCTGCCTGGAAGCCAGGTGCTGCCGGAGAGAGGCTGGCTGAAGAGCCTCCCGGTGTGGGGGTCTCCTGGTTTGGGCTGCTGAGACGTCAGGAGGAGAGGTTGGGGATTTGGTGGGCCTTGCTTGGGCCACGGGGGCTCTGACTTTTAACAGGATAACGGAAGGGGCCTTGGAGGCCTTCTAGTCCAACCCCCTGTTCAAGCAGGAGACCCTATACCAGCCGTCACCAACCCTTTGGACTTCAGGGACCTCCAAATTCATAATTGTACACCCCGCAGACCACTAATATGGGTTTTTTCCAAAGATAAATAGTATTTAGTGCATAAAATAATATAAAAAATGCAAATAATTTTTGTGCGCACCACCAAACTTTTCTCACGGACCACCAGTTGGTGATGGCTGCCCTTTGCCGTTTGAGACCAATGGCTGTCCAATTTCTTCTTAAAAGGCTCCATTGTTGGAGAGCCCATAACCTCTGAAGGCCACTTCTCTTCCGCTGCTTAATGGTCCTCACGGTCAAGAAAGTTCCTCCTCACTTCCAGGCTGCTTCTCTCCTTGATTGTTTCCTGTCCTGCCCTCAGGTGCTTTGCAGAATACGTTGCCCCCCCCCTCTTCTTTACAACAGCCCCTCAAATATCAGGAGGCTGCTATCCTGTCCGTCCGTCCCCCAGTCCTTCTTTTGTTGAGGACGTTTCGTTCCCCCTCCCCCTGGGACATTTTCTTCCTGCTTCCCTCTTGTGAGAACATCGCCTTGAGGAACAGCAAAGCAACGACGGTTACAAGCCCCCCCCCCCCGACACCCTTCGGATTCCCCTCTCGCTTGATGGGTCTACAGGCCCCCAACAG